ATGATGTAAGATTATTGGTGTTTAAACGAGTCCATGTCATTGCCAGTGTTTTCTCATTGACGCATTGGGTGGGTGACTTGATAGTCCCATGATTAGTGCGCTGGACTCTGGGTTGAGAGGTTTGCATTTGAGACCTGGCTAAGTCATTGTGTTCAGTTCTTGGGCAAAATTTTCATCTATCAAAGTGCCCCTCTCCATTCAGGATGCAGCTTTTAAATTGGCAGATTACTCTATCCATCGGATATGTCACTATCCAGCATATAGGTGATAGCAAAACATATAGCTTTATACACTGGATGGAGATTTATCCAGTGGATAGCATTATCTGACCTACGAACAGCTAGGGCCAGGGGTATAAATGGGTAACAACAAATTGTCGTGGAAACCTAATGAAATCAGGGGATAAACTTGTGTTGGACTGGCATTCCATACNAAGTAAATTGTTTAAATGGGTGTTGCCCACTCCTGTGTGTAAACAGCCAAGGGCAGCTCTCGTGTTCACATCAAAGGTCAATGGACCGCGTGCACCAGATCTGTGCTCTTTTGATGTTTTAATGGTGTTTTCCGCATTGCATTGGCAGCATATAACAGTAAACGTGCTTGCCAAGCCACTGTGCTGTTCTTCAATAACATTGCCAAGAGACAAAGGGCCTAGAAATATTGTAAAATACACTGTAAASTAATAGGGAAAAAAGACTCCATCCACATTATTCGTTATGTTCTTTTATATGATAATGGTGTAAAATATGCTATAGTGCAGTTTAAAATAGTGAGAATTTACCGCAATGACATAATGAGCATTCCTTCAGACCATCTGTAAGGGTTTCTAAGTCCACCAGTCTGGATCCTTATGGCAGGTTCGCCTTCCTCTTAGCTTTATTCTGCTGATGGGAATCAGGGTTGGAGTCAACAGAACAGGTAGGCCGATAAGTAGGACAAGCTTTGCAGGAAAACCTTACCAAAAGTTAAGACTTCCGAATAAAGAAAAATGTATTGACCTCACGTGCTCGTGTCATTCGTTTTGTTGGGGGTTTGTTTTCCTTGGATATGTTGTCATACTGGAGCTTCCTTTTGGCATTCTACGTTTTGAATCCTTTGTGTAACCTTTTTATTTTTGTTTCTTTTCTGGTTTCGATCGCTTCCACTTTCCGAAGGCAACCTGACGCATTACGGGTGTTGTGTAGGCGTTGTGTAAACGTCTGGTCTTTCACTGTCAATATTGTGCTCATTACTGGAAAGTATCGATGCCGTTTCATTCTCGTCAAGTAAACTTCGCGATTATGTGACAAAAATTGTGCACTCGCATGAAGCCGCCATGTTTGTTTAGATAGTTGATGTCAGTTAAAAGCTCGCGCCATTTTCGTACCCATTCTTCGCCCAGCCAAAAGACCCTATTGAGCCACCTTAAGTTTTATTTAGCTCTTGCTAAGACTTTGCAATTGCACCCATGACCTCAACTTTGGTAAATTAATTATCAATTTTAAATTAAGGGCAGTCTATCACTGCATTTGCCTACTGTTGTATACCATAGGCAATCAAAATACTCAGTTCTCAGGATGTTGGCCCCTCTGGACATAACAAACATTCTAGGTGCTACAATCCCTCTCGGTGGAGGTGGCCCATGTGGCGACACCGACGATCACGTGTCCCATATGGATCCTCGAGAGATTTGGATGCCTCAAGGGCTTTTAAGGTTAGTATTATCATGTCACCTTGTGGAACAAATCTCAGCAAAACTTGTTAGTAAAAAAAAAATAAAAGAAGTACAGTTTGTAAGTTAAAGAGAAAAGCAATTGTTGCACAAATTTCTGATTCTTTGACAAAAAAAATTGAAGTTCAACAATTATGTGCTCTTTCCTTGTAGAACAGTGGAATCTTATACTTCTCTGATCTGAAAATTGAAAATGCCATAGATGAGAGGCCTTTTCCATACTGTAAGTTGTGTTTTTCTTTTTCATGTTGTTGTTATTGTTGTTTTTTGGTTTCATTTGTTAGTGTAGCAGAAGCTATGTCATTCATCAGGATGATGGAATCTTTGAGTACAGTGGAAATTCCTGTCCAGTGACCATCTTGTCATTACCATTTAATCATTATTCCTGCTATTTAAATGTCATCCTAGAGGAATTTGCAAGTGCACTGATTCTTTTATGTTACATGGGCTCGTTAATAAAGTGGGGCAGGAGGTGTGGGGGTACAGGGGAGGGGCAGGGAGATGGGACAAGAAAGGACAGGATGCTAAAGAGAAATGTTGAAATTTAGATATGGAAGGGTGGAAACAGGTGGTACTCTTCACTTGCTTACACTGGGCTTAAACAGAGACTTTTTTAACTTTGTTTTAATTTTGTGTGCATATAGGCTGCCAGTAATAGTGATTATAATTTTAAAGTGTTCCATTTATTTATTTATTTTTTAAGTGTGCTTTAAAAGAAGTTTTAGCTTAATTTTTGCTTTAACCTCTCTCTTTTTCACGGTTTAACACTTTTTCTTCTATTTCTTTTACCAAGACTTTCTTGTAATCCCTTAAATTACACACAACATATACATACATTACTGAAGTCTTGTTTCACAACGTAGATTTATTCTGCAAACACTACGGAACTAACGTGGCCCTAGTCTGGCCTGACCTAGCTGAGTTTCTCTTGGCCAGAACTGGTTCGACCAAAGAAAGCCTCACAAAACAGCTCTATTTAAGCCTAATATACAAAGGATTTGGTAATGCTATGAATTATCTAAAGGATCACGTAATCTACTACAACGATTGGCTAGGCAGGAATTTCGCCTTTTACAAGATTAAACACTTTCGAAAAGTTTTGGTGGAGAACAATTACACAAAAGGACATGACTGGTGACGGTTACAGTTTGACACTAATTACAGTTATGATCTTTTAACAGCTGTTTACGGCTGACTGAATGGGAACTGGTAGCATTTACGCTTTGCTGAACTTAGCAAGATCTCAGAGTATCTACGTTGAATTTTATATATTTTTTAGCGCTAGCATAAAACTTGATAACTCAAAATCTTATCGTTACAATCAAAGTCTGCAAAGAATTTCCAGAGACTTGGCTCTGGACTGAAAGAAGATGCAATCAAGTAAGACCTCACAACCTGTCGTTGTGTCACTTGTTTCATGGATCTGAGGGACTGCTAGTGTGTTGATCTGTATTTTATTCAAGCACTTATCAGCGTCTTAGTGTACATTTTTGTTTAAATATGTCACTTGAATGTCTTAACAGGCTGAACACAATATATCAAATGAAAGCAAATTGATGAGTTGTCTGCATTTTTCAGAAGAACAGCTTTGTATACAAGGTATTCATTTTTACCTAAAATGGACAGAAATTGACCGAGGCCCGAGCTTGTAGCAATTGCTGGTATTTGCTGATTACTAACAAACACTGTTTTAAATGATACTGTGTAAAATCTGACGGCATCAGTTCTTTTTGGGACTACTTACAACTCACTCACTAAATTTGTTTTCAATGTTGGCGGGCGCAAGGCAAGTGCAATTACCTGTTCATTCAGAGCACGAAGCCTCCAATGTTTTTATTCCTAGTAGATAACATTAGTTGTCAATTACTTACAGAACAACATGGAATGGGCTCAGTGTCAAAGTTTTGAAAATCCTAAAAACTCTATTGGATTCAATTAGCTGTCAATTACTTACAGAATTACTTGGTGCGAAAGCTCTTTAAATAATGCACAATCAGGTCTGATTGGAGACTATTTGTACAGCGCTACTTACAGAATTACTTGGTGTGGGAAAAATGCGAAAGCTCTAAAAATGATGCACAATCAAGTCTACTTTGACTGAAGGGTATGAGTACAGGGTTACTTCATTACTTATTCATTTTCAATCAAGCCTGTACAGAGAAATCTATTTAAGAGCTATCCTCAATTTATGGCCAGAAGAAAGGAAGTATACACAAATCAAGTGGTGAACACAAATTCCAAACAGGCTCGCGAGAAGGACAGTTAAGTGCTCATACGAATTCACTCAACATCCAAGAGGCTTTTTCAAAGGAGAGAGGGATGCAAGAAATTACCATGTGTGTATAAGAGTTTTGCATTTGCCAGGGACATAGATCCTTTGGCTGAAAAGGAAGATTTTTTTTCCATCTAAGAGGAAATACGTTTTTTCGCGATCAAGGGAGAAGCGCATCATCAAAGATAGAAGTTCATTGTGCAGTCCTGGTTTGTTTGTTTGTTTTTTTTTCATTCTTTGTACACTGAACCTACTCCTCAAGAGGGAAATAGACTCCCATCAAAGATGGATAGAGAAGTTGACTTTGTAAGTGGATTTAAGGCAGTTAAGGTTTGAGCATATGTTTCTGACATACTTATCAGTCCAATGAGCTGGAAAGCAATGATATCGACTTTTGTATGAAGAGGGCTGTACTTTGGACAGTTCCTCTCTCCGCCCTGTATTACCATTAAATTAGTAAGTATGCCAGCTAGTATCCCATTTAGGAGGAGTAGTGGTACTCCTTTCTCTCTAGTTGCTTGACAGGGTGGAAAATGGGATAAGGTCTAGCTAATTTTCTAGGCAGGAGAAAAAAACTATGAACCTACTGTGGCGTTATTTATAGGAAGAACAGACACACACACACAAGTGAGGTAAAACAGCTCTTGTTTAATCGATGTCCGACAAAACGTAACAAAAAGCATGGTCTCTGAAGTTTTGTTGCCATGGTAGTTATGACGTAAATGTGGACGTAACAACGTAACAAAAAGCATGGTCTCTGAAGTTTTGTTGCCATGGTAGTTATGACGTAAATGTGGACCGGAAGTAAATAGAACGGTAACACTGATACCGTTACATATCCCCTTCTTCAGGAAACAAAAAAAATGTAAACGTAACTGAAGTCACTATCCAGGTTTAAAATAAAACTACAAAAAAAAAGAAAATTAAGAGTTTGTCATGTCCTTTTTTTTTTTTTTGACAACCCCAATCACTGGTAACGTGTAGGTGGTCGAACAATTCGTCCAGATCGAGTGGTGGTCACGGTGGGGAAATCTCCCGCTTATCTGCTGCAGGCTGAAGTGGATATTCCGGATGTGGCTTGTCCGTGTTCTGCAAAGGTACTGTGTCTGATTGGTCCTTAGTGACTGCAGTACTTGGTATGAAAGGTGGTACCAATGGTATTTCATCACCAGAATTTGCAGTAGCAGAAATTGGTGTTGCTTTTGGGGATAATCTCATCCCATCTTCACTGTGTGGCATCACTTCGCGTGTATGTCTCAGGTGTCCGCGGTTCCTGCTATAAACTCTTCCATCTTCTGTTCTGACTTGATAGGACCTTATGTGGACTTTGCCTTCGACTCTTGCTTGGGTCGAATCCTTCTTCTTCCCCAAGTGGGATTTTAGTGGCTGCAATCGCACTGTGTCTCCTGGGCGCAGTTCCTTCAGTTCTTTGGCGCCTTGGTTGTAATACAGGGATTGTTTAGCCTTCTGTAGCTTCAACTTCTGATCAACCTCCTCTGGTAGCTTCGGCTTGAGCAATTGGTTTGAGGTTGGGAGTAGAGCCTTTGTTCTTCTACTGAATAATCGCTGAACAGGTGACAAGTTGAGTGTTTCTGTAGGAGTGTTTCTCCAGTCCAGCAGGGCAAGATATGGGTCTTGTTCAGACTTGACGGCTTTCTCTAGCAGATGTTTTGCTGTCTTCACCATGTTCTCGACTTTGCAGTTGGACTGAGGATATGTTGGAGAGCTTGTTATATGTTCAAAACCATAAGTGTCTGCGAACTGTTGGAACTTTGCGGAAGAGAAGGGCTGTCCATTATCCGATACAAGCTGGTCGGGAATTCCATGACGTGCGAGATGGGCTTTCAACTTCTTCACAACTTCGTCTGCTGTCTTGCTTGTCATTCTGTCAACTTCAAAGAAGCTTGAATAGTAGTCAACGGTCACCAAGAAATCTGCACCGTTCAGATCAAAAAGATCAACTGCGATTCTCTCCCATGGTCTACTAGGCAGCTCGTGACAAATCATTGGCTCTTTTCCTTGCTCGACAGGCTGGCTGTTGCAAACGGAACACTTGGCTACATAATCTTCGACATCTTTGCTCATCCCTGGCCAGTAAACTACTTCTCTTGCTCTTCTGAGACAGCCTTGGATGCCGATGTGGCTCCGGTGGATCTTAGCCAACATGTCAGCTTTCACGCTCATAGGGATAACTAGTCTTTCACCTTTGAAGACCAGTCCATTCTGCAAAGACAGCTCGTCCCGAAATGTAAAATAACCACTGATGTTTGCTGATACCTCTGCCTTGGTAGCTGGCCAGCCTCTTCTGATTGTTGTCTTCAGCTCTCTCAGGGTAGCATCAGATTCTGTTGCTTGCTGAATAGCAGTCAGCGTTGGTTCCGATACTGGAAAGTATTGTATCATATTGATATGCTCTAGCTGTCTTTCGGTGTCTCCTCTCATCTCCTCTATGTACATAACATCTTCTGCTACATCTTCTCTTGTGCTCTTGCGCACTCTGTATGCTCTGCTCAGTGTATCTGCCAGATACATTTCAGTCCCTTTTTTGTAAGACAATTGGAGGTCAAACTTCTGCAATCTTAGCAGCATTCGCTGAAGACGTTTAGGGGCACTGTGTAGACTTTTACGGAAGATGCTCTCGAAGGGTTTGTGGTCAGTTTGGATCTTGACGGGTCGACCATACACACACTGCTCAAAACGTTCTACTCCGAAAAGTATTGCAAGCATCTCTTTCTCTATCTGGGCATAGTTCCCTTCTGTTTCTGTCATAGAACGAGATACATAAGCCACGGGCTGGCCTCCTTGCATAAGACATGCACCAAGTCCTCTGTCTGATGCATCATACTGCAATTCCACGTCGTCTTTGGGGTCAAAATACTTGAGGACAGGGGCAGCTGAGACTATCTCCTTAACTCGCTTGAAACTACATCCTTGTACTAGCTCATCCCAACGGAACTGGTTCCCTTCTCTCAAAAGGTCTCTCATTGGGGCTGTACCTTCTGACAGGTTAGGAGCGAACTTCTGGAGGTAATTTACCATGCCGAGAAGTCTCTTGAGGTCTTGTTTGGTGGTCCGGGTTGGCATCTCTTTGATACCTTGTACCTTGTCTGCGTCAGGCTTAAGACTATCTTGACATATAGCACGTCCCATAAACTTCACTTCTTTGCGACGGAGCTTAAGCTTCTCCTTGTTCAACTTAATGCCAGTAGCGCGGCAGCGTTCTAACAATGCTGTCAGCTTTGCATCATGGTCAGAAAGTGCTTCAGCTTCTGTTTCTCCGACACCAAAAACAAGGATATCATCAAATATTGGCTTAATTCCATCAAGACCTTCCAGGGCGTATTCCAATCTCCTCTGAAACTCTTCCGGAGCGGGTGATATGCCGAAGGGCATCCGGGTCCAGCGGAACCTTCCCCAGGGGGTACCAAATATGGTCAGAAGACTACTTTCATCGTCTAGCTGCACATGCCTAAATCCGTTCTTTGCGTCTACGACACTAAAGGCTTTAGCATTTGTAAGCAGCGGTAGTAGATCATCGATCACTGCAAGGGGAAAATGATTTCTCCTGATTGCTTTATTCAGAGGTTTTGGGTCGATACATAGCCTTATCTTTCCATTGCTCTTCTTAATGACTACCATTGAGGAAATCCAATCTGTTGGAACATCTACTGGTTGCAGGATGCCTATCTTAACTAAGCGTTCTAGTTCCTGTTTTAAAGGCTCTTTTACTGCAAAGGGGACTTTCCTCACTGGCAGTGCCACAGGGCTTACAGACTTATCAATCTCGAGGTGAAGCTTTCCTTTGAGCTTTCCTTCTCCTGAGAAGACATCTCCGAATTTGCTCACGAGATCCGGCTGTGTGGGAATCTCATTCGAGAGAGACATGATATTATCGGTGTTAATCACGATGAGGCCAAACTGCTGCACCGATTCAGCACCGAGGAGTGCTGTGTGACCTGTTGGAACGAAGGTGTATTCCGTGAGGTAACACTGTCCATTCTTGGGGTTGAAGGTCTCGACCTTAGTACATCCTAGAGGTTTTAGCTCTGATTTGTTGAACATGACGAGGGTAGTTTGAGTAGGCTGAAGGCGNCTGTCTCTAATCATTCGCTCTTGCATGATACCAAAATTGCATGTTTTAGCTAACGAACGTAAAGCTGTAAGGAAAACATCAAATGACTCACCGACCGCCTGTACTCTCTGGTTTGAACAGATAGGCTTCGTATAATTCATTCGTCTCACCGATTAAAAAGGCGTCTAGAAGCTCTATCACTTTGTCAATGTCGGTTTTCTCCTCTTCATTTCCGAAGGGCAAACCATCGTAAATCTCCAGGATATCTGGGCCAATGCATGTCAACAATGTGGCTGTTCGAAGATTACTACTTTGCATACTGAGCCGTGAGGCGATCTCGTAGGTTGTCCAAAGCCGCTTAAATGTCTTCCAATTCACAGCTAAGTTCCTCTTGAAGTCTAGTTTCGACGGTAAAGGAATAGAGGACTGGATAAATTGAGGAGTTGCTGGCTGCGTGCTTGTTGACGCTACGCTTGACGAGCCTGATTCGGCCATCTGGAGCTAGATTCACTGGGTTTGGCTTGAAAATGCACTTAAGTATTCCAGCGACGATTCTGTAGGAAGAATCCCAAATCACTGACACCATGTGGCGTTATTTATAGGAAGAACAGACACACACACAAGTGAGGTAAAACAGCTGCTGTTTAATCGATGTCCGACAAAACGTAACAACCGGAAAGCATGGTCTCTGAAGTTTTGTTGCCATGGTAGTTATGACGTAAATGTGGACCGGAAGTAAATAGAACGGTAACACCGATACCGTTACACCTACCCTACATGCAGCTCAGCTGATTCAGTATTTTGCCATGTAAATATCAACGCCTCTCTCAGATAGTGCTCAGGGTTCGGTAGAGCTCTGCCAATGGTTGCAAACCTCATGGCTGTCCCTGAGATGAAAGAGGATGACTCATTGTTTATCAGTATCACTGACACTCGCAGAGTGAAGAAAGGAAGTAAAACAAAGGCCGTTAAAATCCGTAATGAATTTCCAGAGACTTGGCTCTGGACTGAGGAAGTAATCAAGTACGATCTCACTACTTGTCCTTGTGTTACTTGTATAAAAGATCTGAAGGACTGCTGATGTGCTAATCTGTATTTTCTTCAAGCACTCATTATGATTTTAATGTACATTTTTGTTTAAACATGTCACTGAAATATGATAAAAGGCTGGACACAGCATATTGAAATGTTGTTTGTGTTTTGGATAAGAACTACTTTGTATACAAAGCTCTCATTTTTACCTAAAAATTGGCAGAAATTGACTAAGGCCTGAGCTTATAGCAACTGGCTGAAAAAGGGAGGGATGGAAGTACAGGGCTACTTCATAACTTGTTCGTTTTCGATTGAGCCTGTATAGAGAAATTGATTTTTAAAAATTTTTCTCAGTTTATGGCTGGACGAAAGGAAGTACAAATAAATGAAGTGGTGCACCCAATGTCGGCTACACACAAGTACCAAACTAGCTCTCTAGAAGGACAGTAAACTGCTTTTATGCATTCACGGGAAAGTAGTTGGCTTTTTCAAGTGAGAGAGCAATGCAAGAAATTGTCTCTGGATACATGGTCAAGACAGGGCAAAGCATGAAATTATCAACTGCCCACAAGACTTTTGCTTTAGACCATGGCTATCTTTGCTGACGTGGAAGATTTTTGTTTCTTGAAAGTGGAAGGGCACATTGTACACTGGTCATCAAGGAAGAAGCACATCATAAAAGATAGAAGATACTTTTTACAAGTTTATGATTTGGTCTAGGATTTTTTTCCTTATTATTCTATGCACACCCAACCTGCCTTATGAGACGAAACGTCTCCCCCAGCTAAAGCCGCCATTTAAAGAGACGTGGACTTTATGCAAGTTCAGAGCACAATTCTGCAGATTTTGCTTTTTTGCTCATCTGCCCTGTGAACGGGAAAGTGGTGATTACAAGTTTTAATGAAATGTGCTGTGAGCTGTCCGCTGTTTTGTGATCAGGAAAAACTCACTTGGTTAAGTAAGAGAAAAGAAGAGCCCTTGTTATCTGTTTATCACTTAAGGTGGCTCGTACCGGTTTTCGTCTTTTTTCATGGTTTGTAACTTTGAAAGAATACAACAGAAAGACTGACCAAGGCCAGTTGGACACTTTTACGGGGTTGAATTATATAATCATTGGTAATCCAAAAATAGGTGTCATTTCATCACTAGCAGCAGTTTCCATGGCAACGCTTTCATAGGCTTATTCANCCTTACACGTCAATCATCTTTTGCCAAACTATCAAAACACTCATCCGGATGACTAAATACAACAGATGATAAAATGCAAGTTAAGCCTTTCACTGCCAAGATCTCATTTATTAATATTTAAATTCTTCTTACTGTCTTCCATACGATTATTATGAACTGAGTTTGGAGAATTTAACCTTGGATCATCTCATAATCCCTAATTGATATTTTTCTTTACTCTCATCACTTGTCTGCTTAAAATTCTACTGATCTTGTGAGGAGAAATTCTCTCTCGGTCACTCGTGGGAGTTAAGGGTTTAAAGGACGTTGTTTTATATATTTCCAGCTTTGGACCAGCACAAACTCTAAGGAACAGAGCGGGTGAAAAAGTTTTGTGTAGTGACCAGTGATTATTTAAGGCCGGGGGGGAGGATGTGGAGGATTTTGAGAGGTTCACATAGTTTTCAGGGAAATGGAAGGGGGCATACTGGCTGCCAATTAACCGCCGATAAACGGTGGGGCTCCCCCGAAAAACATCAGAGAGCCCAGAGGGGGATCAGCTAAATTTCATCATGACACAACCAAAGTCCTCAAACACAATTCTTTTCACTCCAAATTGTTTTCACTCTTCCACTTCAAATTGCACATGAACAATTATATCGGTCAATCATGGTAAATGTGTATCGCCGAATGACGCCTTCGATCAAGCCATCTTCTCGGAACAGCGACAAGATACCATCCAGAAGTTCGATGGAAAGCTTCATCTTTCGACAAACATGGTCCAGAAGCTGGCAGATGCTGGTTTGTCTCATGTTACACTACAATCTCCGTACGAGAAACTCAACATTAACAGCCTCAATGGAGTACTGGCATTGGCGCCATCTGCAAAATCAACTTGTCATCATATATCGAATTCAATTCCGCTAGAGAATAATTTCTCTCCAGAGTTTCTCTCCGGAGTTCATTTCCAACTGTCGTAACCGTAAGCAGTCTGAGTCTCAAATGATGACTCACTTTTCAGGAATGTGTAAAATCACAAAACAATGTGAATCCATCTTCAGGATGTACGATTTTTTCCGCGCTGAGGGCATCCGTCGATTAATCGCGCGGACACGGACTCATCCTCGCGAAAATGAACCCTTGAGTCAGCGGTATCTTTTAAAACGCGTAACCTGATATAAAAGTGTGAGCTAAAATTGCAAAAACCGGAAATAAAAATTAGTTAGGTGACCTACCCTGATTTTTTGTGTACAAATAAATTTCATCATTACGCGTTCCTGAAGAAAATTTTAAAAAAATCTATCTCGTGGAAATTTTTTTACATTTTAAAACAGCATTTTCCTAAATAATTCAAGTTCTACTAGATATTTTTTTTTTAATATCACGTATACAGGTAGAGAATGTGATGATGTTTAAGAAATTAAAAAAAAAATAGGTTAGCAGTCGTGAAAATCTAGCGAATATTCATCGAAAGTAAAACCTTGTGTGGCACTTAATTCTTGAAAATATCTTTCAAAAACTGAGTTTTAGAGGGTCTTTTAGCACTATTGTACTGTTGCCATGGCAACAGATAATGCCTGACGAACCCCCTAAAAAGATTGCCCTAACATAGTGTTATGCATATGTAAAGTCATTATCCTGATGATAAGTTTGACAGTCCTGATATCTTTTACTGATTGGTACTTGCTGTTAATTGTGGAAAACCCTTTCGAGCCTGCTTAATCATGCATTCTGCCACAACGTTGTTCCTACCTCATTATTATCTGTGTTCTTGTTGTCACTGTCATTATTTCATGATTTCACTCTTTGTGTAGTGTATTAGGAAACTTGATTTTGAGAGTGGTGTTACAAAAAAGTACAAAAGAGTTTATGGTGACTCTAACAGGCATAATCCAGCTATTGAAAAATGGCTTTTCGTAGAAATCATTAATTTATATTGGTTTGCACAACTGCAAATTCAATAATTTGCAGTTGTGCATTTAATTCACTATCACGATAACCAACCATTTACTCTGTCAAGTTGCTTTTTTTTGTGAGGCTTAGCAGAATAGTGGTACTGTTTGGGCAAGGTGGGATGGCTTTCTGGTAAACTAGCAAAACTCCTTCTGTAAGGTCTGATTCAAAGTGAGGCAAAGGTCATTGTCCTAATTTCTGGGAATGGAATCTTTACTCTCGATACCTCTGTCCTCCCTGGAGTTTACATGGGCAGCACTGAACTACCAGGAAAACCTGAAGGAATGCTACCTTGCATCCCATTCAGAGTGAGAGGTGATATTCTGGAATGAGCTTTAGCTGAGAACATCACTTAGCTGGTATGGTTTTTGCGATTTCGCAATAACATGTGAAGGTGTAGTCTGATCGTCCGGGTGAGTGTAGTCCTGAGAAGGACTGTCGTCGGTGGTATTGACTGACGTTTCGACAACCTGTGCGGAAGTCATCATCAGAGTCAAGTGAATGATTGTTGTCAGTAGAATGTTCTTATTCCAGTTCGTGTGAAATGATCGGTTGGTTTTGCCGTGATGTTATTGGCTGTAAGACTCAAGTGACGTAAGTCGGTCGTGATTGGTCTGTTTCGATCTGTCGGTAAGTTAGGTCGTTCTTTTTCGGTCGTTTGTGATGTTTATGTCGTGAATGAGTCGTTTGTATGG